GTATTCACAAATACTACAGATACAGTCAGGAAGAGTATTCACAAATACTACAGATACAGTCAGGAGGAGTATTCACAAATACTACAGATACAGTCAGGAAGAGTATTCACAAATACTACAAATAAAGTCAGGAGGAGTATTTACAAATACTACAGATACAGTCAGGAGGAGTATTTACAAATATTACAGATACAGTCAGGAAGAGTATTCACAAATACTACAAATAAAGTCAGGAAGAGTATTTACAAATACTACAGATACAGTCAGGAAAAGTATGAACAAATACTACAAATAAAGTCACGATGAGTATTTACAAATACTCCTCAGGATCAGTATTCACAATTTACCTCAACTATAGTTAGAAAAGTTAGTATTATTATTATTTATGTCCAACAACTCTTTCCATATGTTTACTTACCTCTCTGCACTTTTTTCCTCACTCACCTCTAGAAACTGCAATACCTTGTACTACATATACAGTTTACAGTTGTCAGTACATGTGCGTCCTGGAATGTTACACTGAATCCTTAGATTTATATTATTGTATTTGACTCTTTCTATAATTACTGCACTAATTGCACTACTAAGCTGACCAGTTCTTCTTTTCATTTTACTATTGACCTTGTGTTAACTTCCACATGATAATAAAACATGAACATTTAACATGAAACTTGAACATAACTGTATATATTTTAAATCATATTAACTGTTTTTTGTAATTGAAATGCGACAGTATTGCAAAATGTGTTTTTGCCAGAGAAGTAACAAAATACACCGTGTTGAGGGAGACATTTTCTTCCATCAGTAGTGACCTGACTCAAACCAACAAAAGTGATGAGTTATGAAAGAAAGATCTTTTTAATATAAATATTTAAACACAATTTACCAACATATCACATTTTTCTCTCTGCTAAAAAGACATAATTCCCACACACACACTCACACATATGTACACACACTGTCATATTTCGGTGCATTGGTGTAATAGTTATAATAATTCATGGTTCATACGGAGCAGCAGTTTTCATTAGGTTCTTCTTCATCAATCACATGATGGCGTTATATTGACTTGATATCCTCTGGTCCTTCTGACCCTCCTACAGTACAATGAAAGCATGTTCAACATTTGGTGTTTTCATCTCCTGAAGTGCAGCATTAGAATGATGCATGTTTGTGTGTAACAGAAAATTAAAGTGTGTGTATTTTAATAATGCGACAAACGAAAGTGTATAACCTCGCGTGTTATGATGGAAAAATATTCTGAAACAAAAAGCAAATATGAAGAACAAAAACGCTTCTATGGTTGACACCTGCCTATAGCACCACAACAATACTGGATAAATCCATTGTGTAAGATTAGGGTTGGTTTCCATGCGGTAAGCTGTGACCACTGTAGCCCTGATGTGCAGTTACATTAAAGAGGAACTCATCAGTTACAGTATAGTTAACAGGCATAGTTCCAGTTACAAATTTATTGTGAACGTCTTCTTAAATGATGTTTTCACAGGAATTTCTGCCAAATCTATGAGCTATGAGTTTCCAAAATTGACTAAAACTGCAGTGCTCCTCCTCCATGTAGTGGGGCCCTGAGCCCAACGACGTCATCACTACAGAGATGGTTGAAAAGCACAGCACACCGACCTCCCGCCTTACTTGGTCACTTGTCTCTCCCTGCCCTATCTCTGGGCACAGGCCTGTTCTACATCAGCGATGGTCTTTGGCGCGTCAGAGGACAGAATCAGAGGGCCTCCCTTGTCTCGGATCACCACATCATCCTCAATTCTGATGCCCAGGCCACGGAAACGCTCTGGCGCCTGGTCACTGTCCTTGCAGATGTACAATCCTGTAAAAATTAAAAAAGAGAAAAGTGGGACATGTGTGAAAGCAGGTATCACATGAGCCAGATAAGAAAGGAGGGGTACATCATTTTAACTGAGAAGTTAGTACAGAAGATAATGTGAGTGTTTGGGTTTTTTAAACCTGTTTTCACACAGATCAACCACATCTGCACATCTTGAGTAAGAATCAAGAAGGTGAGATAGTGTGTAAAAGCCTAGTTTATCCATACCTGGTTCTATAGTTATGGCCATTCCTGGCTGTAAAGGCTGTGAGCGGGACAGCTCAGAAGTGTCATGAACATCCATGCCCAGGTAATGACCAACGTGGTGGGGGCAGTAACGTCGAGCAGCCTGGGACAAGCATAACAAAAATATAAGGTCTTAGGAAGTTGTTGGAGAGTGCAATTAGTTCACTTCATCATTTACATTGGCAGAATGACTGAAAACTACTGATGAGGACTTGAATAAACTCATACACCAACTAGCACAGCATTCACAGGTAAGTAATACCACTGCCAATCCTAATCGTGTATCGCTCTTATAATAGAAATTCAATTAAAAAGGAAGTTGTCGCTACGAAATTGAACAAAGTCATAAATATCAACACTATAACTGTCTGGTTTTTATGCATCAAGATCCATTCATCATTTCCCAAGAAGTTGACATTTTAAAAAATGTCCTGTCTTTTACATCATGACTCTCTGGTGTGGTTGATGGACACTTCACTACACAATATGGGAAATAAAACTTACTGCAACACACATTGAGACATTTTTGTTTCCTAAAAGCCAAGCGCTGCTTACAATCTGGTGTAAAGCTCAGGAATAATCATCAAGAATCTATTATTGTTCAAACTGCGATATCACACACATCATTTCTTTGATTATTACCTTTAGTACATCTGCATCACTGGTACTGGTCTTAATGATCCCGAGCCGCCTGAGCTGTCTCCCCAGCAGAACCAGCATGGTGCTGTAGATGTGATCCAGACTAACATTCGGGGAACACAGAGACAGACAGGAGCGCTGGACCTCCAGGACGGCCTCGTACAGCTCCGCCTGAGCAGCGCTGAATCTGGCAGGAAGGACGTGAGAGCAGCAGACATTACAGGTGTGTTTTCATCTCACCTCAATAACAACTCCTGAGACGCATGTCGCCACATTCTTTTCAATGTGTGAATACAAGTGCGTTCTGGGCCACGTATGAAGGACCGCCTACTCAGCTGACATCCACTGACCTGCTACAGTTTCTCATTTAATCAAAATGTTTTGATCTTTTAACCTTTGGTCAAACTTACTTTCCATTTACTGGCCATGTGCGAGTGATATCACTGACATAACCAAAGTATTCACAGCCACCATCAAGCAGCACCATTTCTCCATCCTGATGCAGGAGAAAAATACAAGGAGTCATTACTTCACATAAGTTTGTACCACTTATCTTTTTCAGGGGGCTGAGATTGCACCTGACAGGACATGACTGATCCTTTTACACATGCAGCACCTTCCGTTACCTTTATTATCTGGTTGTTGTTTATGTAGTGAAGAGTATTGGCTCGATTTCCTCCAGCAACCACAGGGGGATACGCCAGGAAGTTGGCGCCATGGATCCGATTCTCAAAATCAAACTGCCAGGGGAGTATTTTATAATATTAATATGCTTTGACAAAACCTTTTTCACAGTAAGAGTACATTCTTTATACTGACTAACAAGTAGTTTATAGGATTATAATATTAGCAACAAAAAAAAGTCACTATATAAGGATATATTGCTTATCCGTCGTTCTCTCTTATAAAGAAGTTTAAAACTACCACTTTCACTCAGAAGCAAAAATCAGCCTATAAACTTAAATAAACAACAATGTGTCATTCATCAAGATAAATACAGATATCGACTGATATGAATTTACTTTAGAATTTTTCATGAAAACCACCGTCCGTATTATATAAAATATGTTGCTTCTGTCAGTTTGACAGTGCTAACGAGGAACAGTTCATTACTTCTGCAGGTACTGAATAATCAATGTATGATACTTATGCCCACAGTAATTACATTAAAGAGCCTGATCAATAAAAGACTTGGAGATCATTAAAGGACACACGTGATAGTGAGACAGTAAAGTGCCACACAAAGATTTTCAGTCACCTTCGCAAAGAGCACAGCTTCATCTACGTCTCCTTGAGACAGAGCCATCGTCCTCCTAAAAGCCTGGAAGACAAGGATTTGTGTTGGTGAACTATTTATGTCGAAAAGAATCTCTACAAGTGTTACACAGCGTGGCTGAGGGACATCGTTACAATACAATACATGTTAATGGAAATACTGCAGGTATTTAGAAGTAATTATACTGACGATGAAAACATACAACAAACTAAATTATAACAGTAATAAATTATAATGTGAAACAATAAGGTTACGGTTAGGTTGAGTCTCCAGGAAATCAATGTAATGTCCTGTGTGTGTGTGTGTGTGTGTGTGCGTGTGTGTGTGTGTGTGTCTGGATTAGGGACTTTTTGAGGCATTTGAGTTGGTCCTCACTGATTCAAGTGTTTGAGGGCGAAGACTGGTCAGGGTTAGAGTTCAAATTCAAAACAACTCTGTTAGATTCTATATAGTTTGTGCTACAGAGGTGTTAAAACATGTGAGATCATTTGATAATATAATAATATGATATACAAGACAACATATGATTCATTCTGTCAATATTTAGGTTACATGAGATTTGACATGAGCAGTGAGGTGTGAGGACAGAATAGTCCCTCAGAGTGAAAGTCATTCAAACACCGACCTGTGCTGTGATGCGTCCTGCTTCTTGCATGAGCGCCACCTCTGCTGAGCTCTTGAGGGCCCTGAGAGAGTGTATGAGGGGCCTGAGAGAGCGTGGCATCGGCCCCGCCTCCAGCACAGGACACACGTGAGCCTGGTGGAGCCGAGGGTGGGCAGGCTGCGAGTTATCGTACCAAAGCACGGTGCCTGAAAGGGGATGGGAGTAGACAGAAAACAGTTAACTATGACGTTATGGTCAGTGGTCAAGCGTCACCTTTGTTTGTGCTCGATCTCATAACGTTAGTTCTGTTAGGAGGCGTTTCTGCTGGACATGCATCCTAACACCCCCATGCACCAACCTTTAAGGGCCTTGAGCACAAGACCCAGCTCTTCGGTGCTGTGAACTCTCTCGATGCCGGTCAAAGCAGCCGCCCCATCCTTCCCTGAGCGGGGCCCGTCCCACAACTCTCGCCCAGGGTCTCTGCGGGGGACGAATAAGATGGCCTGATCTGGTCGCCCTTTCCCATAAAGAACCAAGGCACTGTCAGGCTCTAAGATGCCGCTGAGGTAAAGGAAATCCTGGGGAACATTTGACTCCTGGTTATTTGGGAAAGACTTGATAGAACTAGAAATTTCAAACAAAAGACTGCAAAGTAAAAGTGGAGTAACGCCTAAAGATGTATAATGGTTTTGCAAGCAATTGTCCTTTGTACCTACATCTTGTTTATCAAGTGTTTTCAACTGTGAAAAAAGATTTCAGTATATGTAAAACCCACAGAGGCAGAAGATGAGGAGATGACACATGAAATCAAAAAGGCACCTGGTTCTGGTGGAAGGGATAAGGGATGTCGTTGGTCATGAAGCGGGTCGGATGGGACAAGACGACGACCACATGGTTGCTGGAGGACACAGAGGGTCCCAGCCTGTCTGCCTGGGCCTCGATAAGCGAAGCCAGTCGGTGTCTGCGGAGCTCATATTCTGTCTGGCTCAAGCCTGGGGTCACCTCACCTGAAGGGAAGAGATCAGCTTTCAGGTTGAATCTGTCCACAAGTCCATATGGTCACAATCCATGTTTTGGTGTTAAATATTGAAGAGAAGATGATCACGTCACATTGAAGCAGACTTTGAAACCTTTCAGATAAAAAATGGCGTCAAAGGACAAAATCACATTTTGTGAGCTCAAAGCGATCTCGACTTTTGACCACCGGAATCTAATCAGATCATTTGTGGAGTGAACAGTGGAACAGACGGTTCATCACCAAACATGCACTATTCTTACTAATTGTGACATGAAGCATAGAGGAGTCTGTTGTTATTTACAATACCTTCCCTGAAAAGTGTCAAAATGTAGTGGTTCAGCACGGCACTGGAAACAGCACTCACCATGCTTAATGAGGTGTGGGTGGGTGAAAGGGCTGGGCTGGCCCAGGTACCGTGGTGGAACCGTCTTTGGCTTCAAACCTCCTGGTTTTAAAGAAACACTTCTGGCTGGGCACCAAACACATCCTGGAAACAGACACACAACACAGACAACAAACACTCTCACCCTGCTTCACAGCACCCACTGAGCAATCATGTCTGAAAGGAACTTTACCCGAAGGAGTCATGAGAGGACAACTTGACTTACTCGTTTTAAGATGAGTTTGCAGATTTGTGTGTCTATGTGTTATATGGCTGATGGGGTCCAGTCACAGTTCATGTGTGTTGACATAAAGGATTCCTGCTGACTTTCTGCTACTTTTTCATGATATCACTCATAACTTATTCACGTTAAATATCAATTTGAAATAAAGAGGTGACACAGATATTCCACCTCGCTCTTGTTCTATTATTGACCTGACCATGGAGAGCTTCAGAACAGTGACTGTGTGAACATCTGTCTGAACACGTGATCCTGGATGAGCCCCACTGGAGCGGTTTACTGACCTGGACTCCTTCTGCTCGGCGGCAGCAGTTTGACGGCGGAGCGGAACCAGGCTCCGCTGCTGGAGGGCAACATGGTGACAGCTTGAGGACACGGCTCAGTCACAGCATAGCGCCGCACTGTGGACGTGAAGTGTCACAGTCAGGCAACAACCGACGAGCGGAGACACGCAGCTGAGTTGTGGCGACTCACCGACGTTAAAACTCCGCTGCTTGTCTGCGGCTGTCAGCTGCTAGCGTTAGCTCCGGGCTAGTTCGCTGCTAGCGGACAGTTACCCACGCTCGTCGGTGACGTGGGTTAAAGCTCCCCTGAGTTTGGCTTCCCAGGCAGACGCGCTGAATCCCGCCTCCTTTTCAAAACAAAAGAGATAGTTCACAGAAAAATGACAACAACACACTTCTGCAGTTTCAGGGGTAAACAGCTGCAGCCAAATCCAATGGAAGTGAAGTGAATGGAGATTTTTCCAATTCTTCAAACCTAAAAAACAACAGAAAATAAAAACATGACACGCCTCCGTGCTGCTCCTGTGAACTCATCCAAGTGTCTGTGAGCTGGAATTCATACATCATGTCTCATTATGTCTGTTATTATCACAGAGGAGTCCTGTGAAATCAAGGGTGTTATTTTCCATTCTGCATTTATGGATGTGCAATTTTCCACAAAGAAATAAGTTTATAATGAAGTCAATGTTGTAATTCTCATCTTTAAACGGTGTGGTAATATTTCACAGTAATATTGGATAAACTCAAAATAAATATGTCATCTTTCAGTCCAGAGGTTTGGGGTCGTGGTGTATCTCTGGAACCTGACCTGACCCTGACAGACCTACTGCAGGGCAACAAAAGCCCGAGACCTCTCGGGCTGTCCGACAACTTGCCTGAATGTAAACCCGAAGTGACGCTGCCTCCAGAGAAGCGTAGCGGTGTTACAAGTCGACTGTCGCCGTTCTCTGCGGGGTTTCTTTCCGGTCGCCAACGGCGTTGATCTTCAAATAGGTGCGTTTCACTCGGACAAGGAGGATTTTCTGTCCCGTTGCTCCGCCGTGTTTGCCGCTAATCTCGCTGCGGGCTGCAGCTAGCTAACGAAGCTATCATGCGTCAAACGGCCATGACATCACAAACGGATTCACATTTCCAGAAACTTCCGGCTTGTCAGCGTTGAGACAGTGACTCGTGTTGTGTGTGAGCGTGTTGTTGTTGCACGTTGTGGTTTTCAGGTGAGGGGATCACGGTGAGGCTGTGGCGGACCCTCACTCGGCCCCCAGCCGGGCTAGCGTAGCTAGCTCAGCCGCCGCTGGTGGTAGCAGCGTTAGCGGCTGAGCTCTCAAACAAGACCGGACCTCAATTAAGCTGTTGACGGGTTTTTTTTTCTCTGGTTTTTCCCCGCATGCAGCGCGCCGTGTGCTGGACGTGACGGAGAAACATGGACCCACGAAAAGTGGCCGAGTTAAAGGGCTTCGTGCAGCGGTGCGAGTCCAACCCTGGGATCCTGCACCTTCCAGAGATGAGCTTCTTCCGGACCTGGCTGCTGGGGTCAGTGCTGCTCCAGCATGTGAACACACACACACACACTGCACAGGTGTCCGGGTTATCGAGCCAAAGATCCACAGAATTCATGAATCTGTCGCAGTGGCACAGGTGTTCTTAGATTAAAGGGATAGTTCACCCTAAAATGAAAATTCACTCATCTACTCACCTCTATACCGATGGGGTGGGTGGGTGAAGTGTTGGAGTTTCAGGGGTAAACAGCGTTGCAGACATTTATTTATTTATTGTTGGTGACATTTATTCAAATGTAATTAAACTTAGAATACTTTCACATGGCTCCTGTGAATGGAAACAAGGTCATTTAAACCATGTTTTAGCCTGAATGTCCGCTGTGATCCACACGCAGATGCAGCTCCAGAGCAACAACAGTGTATATGAATCCGTTTCAAGTCACATTTAAATGTCGGGGCTTACGGACACTTGGATGACACCACAGGAGCAGTATGGAGACATTTAATGTTGTATTTTTATATTTGAAGGCCTGGCCAAAAAGAACATGAAGAAGTATCACCTAGAACAAAGCTATAGATTAAAATAGCATCTATTTTGATTAATCCAGAAAACTGAGAACTTGAAAAGTCAGGGGACTTGGGATGCTCGCTGAATTATTCTTATGGTTTTCTATTGTAGCATGGGAGCAACGATCCCTCCTCCACCCAAGACTGAGGAGTCATGCCACGTGAGATGCTATTTACTCTATATTTTTAATGATTCGTTTTTTTTCCCTCATATATATTATTCTTACACTCTGATGTATGTTTGAATGAAACGTATACAAATATGTGGAGTTTAGTAGTATCTGTAGTTATGTGTTCATGATTATCACATCATGCTGTAACTCTCTGACTTGTAGGGTGGCTGTCCTTGTGGACCTCCCCCTGCATCAGCTTCACCTCCTGAACCCGCTCCTCCTGCAATGTCCGAGAGTGAGGAGAGTGAAATAGGTTTGTCCATCTTAACTTTTAATAGTTTCTTTAATCACACCTCTAGATGCAGGAGTCAGTAGATTTGGCTGCTGGTTAGTTTAGCGACGCATAAAGACTGTAAATGGTTGGAAACACAATCCCACCAGCACCACTAAATCTCACTTATTAACACTAAGTGTACTGTTTGTATAATCTTTACAAAAACCAAAGCAGGCCAGTAAACACCCCGACACTTAAACCCAAGCAAAAAACTGGAAATGTTGTGGGAAACACTGCAATGCATTGCACACATAGTATTATTGTTTTTACACCTCTACCTTTTGGACAACACCAGGTTCGCTGGTTTCCCCTGGTTCCAGTTTCTTTAAAGAGTAATTGACATTGTGTCTTAGCAGGAGTGTTTTATAAACATTGTGTTTCTCATCTGCCTTTCAGAAATCGACAAAGAGGGAGTGATTGAGCCAGACACCGATGAACCACAAGAGATGGGAGACCTTGAAAATGCTGATGTAAAACATCTTCTAATCATGAGTACATTTACTCTAATGCAAACCTTGTCCTCTAAAGGAAACCAATCAGTTTATTAAGGAGATTACAGGCAATTCCAACCATTAAAAACTGGATTTGTTAGATCATCTTGTTTATAAATTTCCTCAGGTCACAGAGGAGATGATGGACCAGGCCGATGTGATGAAGATGGAGGCAATTAATGCTCTGGGAGAAGGTAGGTTGAGATTCAGAAAATCCGAACTGCAAGACACACTTCCTGTGAAGATTAGGTAAACAGAGATATGTACTGAACTAAATTAGATTCATCATCACTCCCAAATTTTATTTTACAGGTGATCTACAGAAAGCGGTGGACCTTTTCACCGGCGCCATCAAGCTGAATCCCTGCTTAGCCATCCTGTACGCCAAGAGGGCAAGGTGAGAGTCGCAGGTGTATTCAGATTATTCATAGCAGAGCAGTTTCATTCATCCTGGTCACTGTTTGATTCCTGAAAACAATAACTTTGAAAGGCTCAGTCTTTAGCTTTGACACAAACACGGTCTGCTCTTTAACTACTCTTTTGTTCTGAATGAGTGTAATCAGTTGCCCTCTGTGTGTTAGTGTCTACATCAAGATGCAGAAACCAAATGCAGCCATAAGAGATTGTAACAGAGCCATCAGCATCAACCCAGACTCTGCACAGCCTTACAAGTGGAGGGGGAAAGCGCACAGGTACGTTTCTATTTAAAGACTCTACTACAGGCCAGATACTTTCCAGTGAGTGATGAAAACAAACCATCAGTGTCAACACTCCCTGCTATAACATACCTCAACTTTGGAAACTAGGATTATTTCAATAACTAATCTTGGGACCAGTGATGAAATCAGTGAAACTTAAAGCTGTTCTCAAAAAACCTTCAAATGATTGTCATTTAGTATGAAATTGTTATTTTATTTCTGACTGCACTTGATCTATGTGAGCTGCTTGTCAAAGTAAGGTCTGTTTGTGGAAAAACACTGCATCCATGCTGCTTGTGCCATCTGGTCGGTGATTTGACGGTAAAGTATTTTGCGTGTGTGGCTGCAGGCTTCTGGGGCATTGGGAGGAGGCGGCCAGCGATCTGGCCACAGCCTGTAAACTGGACTACGACGAGGATGCCAGTGCGATGCTGAAGGAGGTCCAGCCTAAGGTAAATTACATGAGAAGAGAGGGAATTAAAAAACGCAGGCCTTTTTTATAATTAGTGTTTAGTAACTTTAATGCAGGTGTGTTTTTTTTATGTGCGCAAGCTAAGAAAAGAGGGGTTGACCCATATGTGTGATCTTTGCTAATGTTCACATCTTCCTATTGCAGAGAAAGAAATTGATTATAGGTCTTCAGAATCAAATATCAGGCTCCCAGGTTTAAGTTTGCAGTATGTCTTATGTGTCTTTCTTTCTTTCCAGGCTAACAGGATCATTGAGCACAGACGCAAATATGAGCGCAAGAGAGAAGAAAGGGAGGTCAAGGAGAAACAAGAGCGGGTAAAGAAAGCAAGAGAGGAGCACGCACGGGCTCAGAGGGTGAGTTGCTGTGGAGGATTTCATATGTGAAAAAGATAATAAATTATCCTTCTAAGTTGAACTTCAATTTAAAACTAGAGATGCTCAGAGAGGCTCAAAGGCACACCTGATGTTAGTTCTCAAAAAATAACCCTGAAAAGCATCATATTCATTTGATATCTACTTACATGATATTACTCTAAAGGTCTCAGGCTAATGCGCAATGAATGCGCAGCCTGGGCGTAGATGTGTACCCTACCCAGAACCCTATGCTCATTTTTACAGTTTCAGAAAGAAAGTTGCAACCATCTCCACAGGCCAAGCAAACGGCGCATTCGAAACAGGCACTGCACTAGTTTTCACAATAAAAGTTTTCTGTAGGCCCCTTTAAACAACAGAAGAAACCCCTGGCGATTCCTGAATGCCTCCTGAAATGTGTCCCAATCTTTTGTCTCAACAGGAGGAAGAAGCGCGACAGTCTGGCGGAGGATTTTTTCCAGGTAGGAGAGTGGAACCAAGCTAGTTCATTGCATGATGGGATGAGCTATACACTCAAAATGCCATTATATGAGACATGGGAAAGTAGTACCCTTTGGGGAAAAATAGCATTAGTTGCATAATATAGTTAATAAGTGAATCATTTCCTTGTTATGCTGCAGGTGCTGCTGGATTCCCAGGTGGACCCCCTCCGGGCATGGGAGGTCTTGGTGACCTCCTGAAGGATCCTGAGCTTCTCAGTGCCATGAAGGTGCGTGCTCAACTTTAAAGGGATAGTTCACGCTACACAATAGAGGACATACTGCATTGTCACATGATAGTTTGTTGAGGTGGAGTCCAGAAGAAGGCAGGAGACAAGATACGAAGGGACGTGTTGATTCCACACACAGGATCATGAGCATTTGAGCCTTTGACAGCGCAGCACAGACAAGGACCTAGATGGGATTCACTACAAAGTGATTAGAGGGGGAAGGATCCTGTTTACCCAAACCAACAAATGACTATCACAATTGCTGCACCTCGAGAGATAAACTCTGTTGGCTCAACTTGTTGTCTAACCTAATTTTGGATCACTTTAACTGACAGCAAGCCTTTGGACCTGATTTTGGAGAATGCAATGTGTAACCTTTTCCATATTCAACTCTAGGACCCTGAGGTGATGGCTGCCTTCCAGGATGTGGCGCAGAATCCAGCCAACATCTCCAAGTACCAGAGCAACCCCAAAATCATGGCACTCGTCACCAAGCTAAGTTCCAAATTTGGAGCTTCACCACAACCATAAACAGGAAAATTACCAAAGGAGTGGAGAGGGGGAGGGGAGAGTGAATACTTGGTGAAACAATCTGGGGAGCCAAAACACTTTATAACAATTATTCCACTGTGTGCAGATCAAACATGGGGCGCAGGGGGCAGTTTATTTGGTGTTATGTCCAGAAAGTGGGGCTACTTTTTTAATGTTCTGCATTAGCTATTTAGCACTTAGCGATGTCTCAACAAAGCAACCTATTGGTTAGGAGTCAGGTCTCTGACGCCTCTCAGTTGGGACTTCAGTTAACCACAGTTTGATATTTCTTAATCTGTATCTGGAAAAGCTAACCTGGAAAGCCCTGATTTTTGACGCTAGCGCACAAACATTTTTACAGGCATTTAATACATGGTGTAGCTATTGTAGCTATAGAAAAAATTACTGTTCTTGATTTCTGACCCTATAGGGAAAATGATTCACAATAAGAAAATAATAAAACCATGGTTCCTTCATACTGGCTCAACATTCCTTTCTCTTGATCTCTGTTTATTTTACATGTTGTATACATAACGTCTTTTATGCCTCCATGCCAGCGACAGCTAGTGGCATTGTGTTTTTGGGTTGTCTATCCCTCCTATTCTCGTAAACGTGATATCTCAAGAACACCTTTCCCTGGTCAAACATTACATTACATTTCATTTAGCTGACACTTATATCCAAAGCGATTTACAATAAGTGCATCAACCATGAGGGAACAAATGTTGTTTTTTTAAATTGGTTACTAGACATCATCTTGATCAACAAGGTGTAGCTGGGAGAGATGTGCAGAAGATGTTTAGACTTTCTGCTGTCCTGGTGTCAATGGGGAGCTCGTTCCACCAACCAGGACAGCAAACAGTTGTGATTTCACTTCCTTCGCCTTGGGTGTTATTGCAGGAGTAGTAGTACCCTGGATCCTACTTTTATAAGTAAATACAGCTAATGAAAACCCCAAATTCAGTATCTCATAAAATTTGAATATTGTGAAAAAGTTCAATATTGTAGACTCAATGTCCCACTCTAATCAGCTAATTAACTCAAAACAACTGCAAAGGTCTCCTGAGTCTTTAAATGGTCTCTAAGGCTGGTTCAGTAGACAATCATGGGGAAGACTGCTGACTTGACAGTTGTCCAGAAGACAGTCATTGACACCCTCCAGAAGTAGGGTAAGCCAGAAAAGGTAATTGCAAAAGACGCTGGCTGTTCACAGAGTGCAGTATCCAAACAAATTCATAGAAAGTTGAGTGGAAGGAAAAAGTGTGATAGAAAAAGATGCACAAGCAACAGGGATAACTGCAGCCTTGAGAGGATTGTGAAGCAACGGCTATTCAAGAATTTGGGGGAGATTCACAAGGAGTGAACTGAGGCTGGAGTCAGTGCATCAAGAGCCACCACGCAGAGACCTATTCAGGACATGGGCTATAACTGTCGCATTCCTCATGTCAAGCCACTCCTGAACCAGAGACAACGTCAGAAGTGTCTTACCTGGGCTAAGGAGAAAAAGAACTGGACTCAGTGGTCCAAAGTCCTCTTTTCAGATGAAAGTAAATTTTGCATTTCATTTGGAAATCAAGGTCCCAGAGTTTGGAGGAAGAGTGGAGAGGCACAGAATCCAAGATGCTTGAAGTCCAGTGTGAAGTTTCCAAAGTCGGTGATGATTATTTGGAGAGCCATGTCATCTGCTGGTGTTGGTCCACTGTGTTTTATCAAGTCCAAAGTCAACCCAGCCGTCTACCAGGAAATCTTAGAGCACTTCATGCTTACTTCCTCTGACAAGCTTTATGGAGATGCTGATTTCATTTTCCAGGACTTGGCACCTGCCCACACTGCCATAAGTACCAATTTCTGGTTAAATGACCATGGTATCACTGTGCTTGATTGGCCACCAATCTGCCCTGACATAAACCCCATGGAGAATCTGTGGGGTACTGTCAAGAGGAAGATGAGAGACACCAGATCCAACAATACAGATGAGCTGCAGGCAGCCATCAAAGCAACCTGGACGTCACGTCGACGGTGTGGGTACGGCGTTGACGTGACGCAGAAGCATATACTAGGCTTAACACCTCAGCAGTGCCACAGGCTGATCGCTTCCATGCCACGCCGCATTGATGCAGTAATTCAGGCAAAAGGAGCCCCGACCAAGTATTGAGTGCATATATATATATGACATACTTTTCAGTAGGCTGACATTTCTGTATTAAAAATCCTTTGTTTTATTGGTCTTATGTAATATTCAAATTTTCTGAGATACTGAATTTTGGGTTTTCATTAGCTGTAAGCCATAATAATCAAAATTAAAAGAAATAAACGCTTGAAATATTTCACTCTGTGTGTAATGAAACTATATAATATGAGTTTCACTTTTTGAACTGAATAATCGAAATGAACACACTTTTCCATGATATTCTAATATACTGGGATGCACTTGTAGTTGTCATGGCAATACATCTAGCATGGTGACACATTTAAAGTGACATTACTCTGATTTGCTTCAAAGGCTAATGAATGCCTTTGATGGACATCCTTTGCCCTCTATGCACAAGAGAGCGGAGCCATGAAAATCAGTTTTGGATGAAAGGCTTTGATCTTTAGATACAAGGATCAAAAGCAATATGTTCATGCACCTGGATATTATTAGTTGCCATTAGGTAATAAGCCTCACAGAACAATCAAGAAGACAATTTGGATCAGAGACAATTTGGATCAGAGACAATGCTAGACGTACTTAACACAGACAACGTATCTGACCGCAAGCTTACTGTGGCTGAAACAAACTTGCATGTCTATACCACCGCGTTGATCATGAATGTCCTCCAAAAGTGCAAGGCCTACAAGAAAGACACCTGGAAGGACTTGGACGCCAACACAGAGCGTCTTTTCAAACTCATCCTAGAGGGACTCCCAAAGGACCTTGTACCCAATATCGAGTTCGAAAAAATGGCTGAGTCCGTGTTCAAAGCACTTCGGCGTTTGTATGGCAACAAGCTGAAAAAAGTGATTTGTGCACCAACCCCCGATCAGGAGGCTGCCATATCTGAGTGCTTTCAATTGAAGCTTAAAAAGCACTCAGGAGAGCGCAGCCCTGCCTTTCGCTGCCCAACCTTTTCTGCCATCTGCATTGGAGTGACTGTAGGAGTAGTTTGTGTTCTTGGAGCAATGTTTGCGTTCATCGCTTTTCTTCTTTAGAACTTGAGCGAGAACTGAACTGAGTGTGGCCCCTTTTTTTCCTCATGGAATAGTTTTTAAAAATTATTATTATTTCTTAATTTTTTCTTTTGACAGGGGTTGTTACACAAAAAAATCCAAGGACACAGGGATAATCCAAGACCAGACGATTCACAAGCGCACAGAAAGCAGAGTGCGGAGAAGGGCTGGAGCACAGATTGGTTTTGATGAAAAGTTATGCACATTTGGAATCTGCACATAACTTCAAGAAGTCATGCACTTGGACTGAAAGACAACCCTGGACAAATGGGTTTACTCTGGGTGCTCCAGTTATCCCCCTTCTTTTCCCCTTATAAAATAATGTACAGAATAAAAATAAAAATTCTGTCTCAATTCTATTTGTTGGGGGTTTTTGACAGGGTTGTAACACAAAAAAATCCCAGTACACAGGGAAAATCCAAGAGCAGATGATTCACAAGCGCACAGAAAGCAGTCAGAGTGCGTAGAAGGGCTGGAGCGCAGATACTCTGTGCAAACAACAATATATCTGAGTACAAGCACACAGGTTGAGCAGAAGCAGAGCAAATTTAAGTGCAAACAGGAGCTATTTGAGTGTAAGGGCAGGGTTTTGATGAAAAGTAATGCACATTCTGAACTGAAAGACTACGCTCTTGATTAAAGATCAAGAAAAAAAGTCCATACAATGCCCGGCTACTCTCAACTCGCCAAGTGGGAGCCAGGCAGTTTGCATGGGATTGAGTTTGACATCACTGCCTTATGCCAAGTTTACACTACAGGATTTTTTGCCTGATTTTCATGTCACTGCTTATTTTGGACAAAAGCCCAAATCAGAGCTAAACAGGCGTTCAATCAGCAGTTGCCAATCACTGACTTTGTCATTAACTGTAAACTCTAAGTCAACTCATGATATAAGTCATAAAAATGCCATAGTTTAGCAAGCCAAGAAATTCATATTATAATAAGTCATCAAAATGTTTAAGTATAGCGTGTAGAATTTAGTGAAATGTAGTTGTGAATTTGCATTCACTGCCTTCACCTCACTCTGCCCTTCTAAACATGAAAAAGAACCTGTGGTTGCCTTCAGTTGTCATAAAAACCCAAAAGGTGTTTAGTTTGTCCAGTCTGGACTACAGGTAAAAAGAATGCAGCCTCCGTAGAGAGGACCACCTCATTGTAAATATAATTAAATACAAGTATTTAAATATAAAGGGCCTTTTCTGGGGTAAAGAAAACTACAATTTAGATTAAACAAACTAGTGAAAACATCACGAGAATTAATCTACATTACATTTCTGCCAATAGTTCCCATTCACCTAAATCTTACACACTGGACCTTTAAGTCCGGCCACTGGTGTCTCTCTGTCTGGTGCTTCTGCGTTAGATATGGAAGTCCGTAAACGTAGACACAATGTACTATTGTTTAGCCCTTTATCTATAACCGGACCCTTGGTACTGCTTGGAGAGAAGGTAGTATGTGTGGAATGAAACAAGCCCAACTCTCCCAATGGTGTACAGATGTAATGTAATATACATTATATACATACTATAGAGTGGCATATACAGTAATGTGTGAGGATCGTCAATTTTTTTAATGAAGATCCAAATAGGAGGGTTCCAAATGTCATGGCAATACATCTAGCATGGCAACACATTTGAAATTATATCAACCTGATTTGTCTCAAAGGAGAATTAATGTATTTGAGGGAATGCCCTCAACGGCATTATGCAAGAGAGAAGAAGGATTACAGCATTGGTAAGAGTAAATAGTTTGCACCATAATAGACACACATGGCACATGTACATAAAAGAAGAATGTAGCCTACCTAAATATGTTTTCTTTTGCAATTTATCCAATATCCTGTCTATCCACTTTAATAAATGCTGACCCTGTTTGGCCCTCAACGTAGTACCCGTTTTTAATTTTGTCCCTCTTTGTGATTGAGTTTGACACCACCCATACAAACAAGCCAAGCTCTGTATTGTGACAACATTTACGTTTATTTTCAACTTACAACATTGTGAGGGTTAAAAGTGGGAGCAATCAGAGAGGAAAGAAATGGTGATGAATAATGAATGATGCTTACTGAAGCAAATAAAGGCATTAGCAATAATACTGCTAGTGTCCATATCTGTGGAAATATGAAAAGAGAGAAAGAGAGAATTATTTCATCTTATTAAGAATTGCTTTTTACACTGTTTTTATTCATATTTTATTTGTAACATACAAAAGTGTGAGGATGTGTTGTAAATACAGCGGTTCATTACAAACATTATAAACTACTTACACAGTCTCAGGCAACAACGAGCAACCAAACTAAGATGCAATGCATCATTAGAATCATCCAGAGATGTTTCCCCAGACCCATATATCTGTACTAAGCTTTCAAGAATTACCCTTGAATCACAAACTAATGATACTCACTTCTGAAACTCCCACTCCCTGTTGTCTAGAGGGCACACCTGTCTGGTTTTCAGCCAGCGAGAAATACAGTGGAAATGGAAGGCGTGCTGTAGATAGAAAAAAAAACAGGGTGAAAGGACGCATGTATATACTGTATCCATTGTATGGTTTATCATAGCCAGAACTAATTTGATGTTTTTATTCACAATATCATACCCCCTTTAAAAAATCTCACATGATTTGCGTATCACTTATTCATATTTTTATTGTAAATGGCGTCCACATGTTCAGCAAGCACACCGAATTACCATAAGATGGGAGGAAGATATTTTTTGTCATTTATAAAATCGGCATTAGAAATACAGTATGTTTGAGGCAGGTATGGAAACTCACATTGCAGACACCCCAGGCTACAGTGCACTCCTCAGAGGTTGCAGAAGCCTGGTTGGCCTGGCACTCAATACCTGGTGGGGGAACAAGAAATGTGTCAACGGATGCAATTTCACAAAACCGACACTTGTGAACCGCAGATTAAATGTTATATTTAATGTTGCTTTGGAAAGAAATAATTGCTTTAATTACAATCCAGAGATGCAGTCACCGTCAGCTACTTTTAATATTCACAAGTCAGCTACTTTTAAACTGTGAATATTAAAAGTAGCTGACGGTGAAAGCCATGGACACTAGAGGTGTGGAAAAATTGGAAAAGCCTTGTGCATCATTTAAGCCACATGAATAGGAGCATTGTCGCTTCCTGGTTAAATATAATGATAACAAAAGAATGATGGTGGGCAAAACAGCTATGGTAAATAGGCATTGTGCCATGAGAAGGCCAAAGGACAATAGCAATACATTTGAAGCTAAATCTAATTTGTCTGTGAACTGATTCAGTCTGTGGCAGCACTGTGACCTGCACGTGAACGCAGTTGGCTCTAACAAACAACAGAGCCCAATGGACGAGTACACAGGGCGAAAGAAAGGTCCGCGCCTGTGAGAGAACTGCAATGAATGCCGCTCACGGGTTCGCACACAGCTACAGCTGAAACTCTGAGGTCTGACTGTCTGTGTGGACAGTAACAACTTTATGGACCATGGCAAGAGTGGACGAGAGGGAGATACCAGAGAATCTGATCCCTGACAAAGGCTGATCCAATCCAACAACTTGTTAAAGCTCAACATCTCTTTCTCCGCAGTTCAACGTGAATTGTTTACATCAGAAATGTGTGTCAAATGAGTCACGGTTGATTCCACAGCTGTGTAGAAGTGAACTCACAGAGATCCATGATGTGGTTTCGACAGATAGCGCAGTTATCCACCACAATGTCCCAAGCCCACAGCGCCACAGCATTCCACTGGTTAGGAAACAAGAAACAGAGCAAGTTAAATTTCACACCTCAGACTCCAACATGTCGGTGCCTGTGATGAGCTCTGAGTGTTTGAGCAGCTCAGAGAACAACCCGGGAACAGCGAGTGACCAGTGACCGATTCCAAGGGAACCAGGTTGTTTTGACTCCTGCATGTTGGGAAATGCAGTTGAGCTAAGCTAACCTAGCTCGCTTAGCTTCGGTGTTCCATGACGTTTAAACGGTTTGGCGGTGACGCTCGGGTGGCTCGTCTCTTGTCTCGGTCGCACCGGGGCGATGATCGGTGGTCTTCATCACACCGCGACGAGTCCCTGTTCGCCACCGTTTAGCCTCACCTCCCCCAAAACAAGATGTGCTAATTCACGCCGACACCCAATCTGCGTTAGCGGCTAACGCCATAATGAGTTAGCGCTAGCATGCTAACGGCCGGTTCGTGGCACCGATCCGTGTTGGCGGTCGCCAGACGAAGCAGACATGTTTTACACAACCTTCACGCCACCATACCTTCTTCACTTCGAACCGCTTCTTGCTGGCTCCGCTGTTGGTGCCGCTCGGTGTGTCTACATCCATAGCTGCCGCCATCATGAACCCTGAAGTTTGATGCGACGAACCCGGAAGAAGAAAGCACCTGATTTCCGCCGGCCTCAGCGGATAAAATAACGGATCGCTGCCACAGGCGTGTCGTTATAATCAGATTCTGTTGATCAGAAGTGTTGAAGTTAATCTTCTGTTAAAAGAAATTAATCTTCTTTGTGTTAAATGAGGGAAGAAAAGGGGGAAAAAAATTTAGGTTCCACCGAGATTTGAACTCGGATCGCTGGATTCAGAGTCCAGAGTGCTAACCATTACACCATGGAACCGCTGCTTCCCTCCGCAAATACTCGTACTACTTAAAGAAAGATACGTTCAATAACACACTTAACACCAAGTTCTCTAGTTTGCTACCATCTTTACTGGTTTGACCCTTTATGTCGACATGCACATTAATAAAGACACGTTTGTTTTCCACACATTATCTATTGTAGCCTTGACGGTCTGAACTATTCATGAAATGAATGTCACTTCTCTTCTCTTTTCTTTCCCTGTTGCTTTTGGCTCTGCTCTGTTTATTACGCTCCTGTAGCAAAGAGTTCACTCAGCCTCCACACAGTTGTTATCCAGAGCTTTAATTAATAAAAAAAACAAAACATCTTAACACTTAGTTGCAAGAACAAACTCATGAACACGTGGCCTGGGCTAACTGAGCTGAATCAGAATCTCTAATGTTCCCTTATTTCGGTGCCTTCTTGGTCTTTGCCACTTTTTTTGACGCAGGTTTTCTCTGAGGCTGGTTCTTGGTTGGTTTGGATGCTTTGGCTTTGGGCTTCGCAGGTCTGGCTTTGACTCCCGGGGCCTTCGGCAGACTGGGTTTGGGTTTCTTCACTTTTGGAGCTTTGGCGCCCACGACGGCCTTCTGGTGTGCAGGAGAGCTGCTTTCTGGGCACGACACGAAGACCTGGACGTCCCGGACCCTCTGACCCTTGAGCTCAGGAGGGTGACCGCAGGTGGCAGTCACCTCCAAACTCACATTCTCCATCCACCTGAGACACAGACACAAAGAGACAGAGGAGGAAGTGGTGTCAAATAGTTATAGTGAGTAGAGCAACAGTTAGCTCTATTGATTTTTATGCTTCCCTGATCCCTGTAGCAGCTCTCATGTTAGCAGTGGCCCGCTGCTGTTTACAGAGAATCAATCTGCTGCCTCAGAGCAGGTTCTGCCATATCTTTGCTGAAAGTGGAACCGGTATGTCAAATGATAACTGGCCCACATTTTCTGCATTGCATCTAGACAACTCTAGGCTCACATCCAGATAAGCCAGTGGTGACTGTGCCACATTTATACCTACAGTGGCCCAATACTGTTCCACAATATTCATGCAATATTTGCTATGTCAAATCTGGGCCATGTTAGTCTTACATCTGATTAGCCAGTGGCAACTGTGCCATATATTTGCTAAAAGTGGTCCATATTAGTTGTAAAGTATTAAGGCCACATTAAACTGGTTATAGCAGGTGCCATAGCTTTGCCAAAACTGGCTTACCAGTTGTGCCACCAGTGATTGAAAAAAAATTCACTCACTTAATTTACCATAAACAACTCAAGGCAATTCCATAAGAAGCTGTGCACTGACCTGCGCAGGGGCAGTAGAGCACAGTCACACAGCAGGGGGTTGTCCTGCAGGTCGACCACCTCCAGCCCAATGAGAGGCTTCAGCTCAGGAAGCTCCTCCAGCTGGTTTCCTCTTACAGTCAGAGCTCTCAGCCCGGCGCCCAGCCCCGCCAGAGCGTCCCGGGACATCTGGACCACGACACAATTTAGAGAGCTGATCAACAATAAGTCCTGCTTTTTTAGCTGTAAGCATAGATATGGCTCCGCCATTATTAATACTTAGTACGCATAGATATTTAACTTGTAACCATGTCATGATGCGTTATGCACCCAATCAGTTCCTTAAACAGACCCTTTAGTCACTTATTGTTGAAACGACAGTCTTGCCTATACATATTTCTACAATCTATGGTGACAAATATTGGTATATGTAAATAAAGTGTAGTCAGAGATTGGAAAGACACAAACATGAAGCAAGGGACACCTTGGATTTAATGTTATGGTCTCTTGTACCTTCTCCATGCCCATCTCATCCATGTAAAGCCTCTTCAGACTCTGGGACATGGGCTGGAACGCGTTCGGTTTCACCCAGCGAATTGAGTTGCGAGATAAGTTGAGCTCCTCCAGATTTGGGACCTCGGACAGAGCGCTGGTTGGCACCTCTGTCAGCTGATTTGAATCCAGGTGAAGTGTAGCTAGGAAGGCAGAGTCCAGAGCACCCTTGGCAATAGCAGTAATTGTGTTATTGGTCAAGTAAAGTTCCTGTAGCTTCGGGGTCACTGAGGACAGCAAACCAGCGGGCTCCAGTTTAGAGATGGCATTTCGTTCCAGGTGTAACACAAACAGACTTGGTAAGAGTCCCAGTGCTACCAGAGAAACACAAAGAGACAGACAATGTCCTTATTTTCAGTGTTTATAAACCACGTAAGTTCCTGTAAATTGAATTCACACACAGTCAGACTTGATTTGGCAAACCACTGACCTGATCCAGGGAACTGTGCCAGCCGGTTCCCCTCCAGGTAAAGGTAGGTAAGCTCAGGGGTTCCAGCGAAGGCTCCAGGGTCCAAGGATGTGAGGTCATTGTCAGAGAGATACAAATAAAACAGGTTCTTCATCCCCCGAAAGGCGCTGCGCTCGATCTCGTGGATTTTGCAGAACTCCAGGTGAAGGGAAACGACTTGGCTGGAGCCTGGGAAGCTGTTGGCAGGGAGGTAGTGGAAGTGGTTGCTGCGGAGGTCGAGCAGCTGCGTCTTGGCGGGGAAGCCTCGTGGGACTTTGGTGTGACCCTGACCCTCACATGTGGCATGCTGGGCTTCAACCTGGCAAATGTGTAATAAGTATGGAACATAAGAAAGACTGGATTTGTTTGGACACCTGGAGGCAGAAAGTTGTCATTTGCACTCACATCACAGTCACAGCGAACTGGACACTTGGAGCTCTGCTTGGGCTTGGCTGTGGGTGGAGAGCTTCCTGTGCTGTCACTCTCCTCCTCAAACTCGTCCGTCAGCATCTCTGCCCGGCTGCGGCAGCGCAGATTCACAGGAGCCACTGTCTGCAGCGGCTCGTCTGAGAGGTGAGGAGGTCCGGCACAAGCTCCCAGCAGCTTCACACCCCCAACACTCGCCCACACCCTCAGGGGCCGCATGTAGCAGTTACAGTAGATTGGGTTGCCTTTAAGAAAATTGATGTGTTAAAGATTTCATCGAGCATCTTCATCCATCTCCTTATTTAATTAAAAAAACATAAATTTCTTAATAAAGATTTCATGTCAGGATGTAATGAAAAGCTGCATGTCTTTGTGTTACTGAAAAATGTCTGAACACAGTGGTACCAGTCAGGTTGAGGCTGCCCAGCTCCTTGGGGCCTGAGAGTGGCTCCAAGTAACGCAGCTGATTGTGGCTGAGGTCCAAGTGGGAGAGGAGGGGGGCCCGGGACAAAGCCTGGTCTGAGAGGTCCTGAAGGGACATGTGGTTCAGGTGGAGATGTGTGAGCTTTGCCATGGAGACGGATTCTTCCCCAAGGTAAGTCATGGGGTTGTGGCTCATGTCGAGGCGCGTGACTGCGCTGAGTCTTTACAGGGGGAAGAGAGAAAAGTAAAAACCAGATTAACACGTTCACCCTTTGACAAATCAATGCTGTTGTTTCATTATCTGTCTTTTCTTTCTTTCACTCTCTGTAATTTAGTGTTAAGTTCTCTGTCACTGGACTTATTTGTGCTAATAACCAAAACCAAACATTTAGAACAAAATAAAAAAACGTATTCAAGTTTGTTTTCGTTTATAAGCGATTTCAAGACTGGATTACCAGCCAGGCAAAGCAGGTGACAACCCTGGGGCCTTAGACCTTCAGGGGCCCTGAAGGCTGCAGGTTTACGGTTGCATTTGGTTTGAGATTATTGACTGCAAACAAAAGATTTATTAGGATGAAGCTGGAAACGTATCTGCCAATAAAACTGTACTATTTGTGACGCTGTAATTTTGGCCCGTAGCAAAATGCTGAGGCAGATGTTCCTCTAGTGGCACTGCTGAGAAGTCATGAGGTAAAGTTACGTATAAAATGAACATAACAATCTTTCAGATTGTCCAACCTGGTCATGGTCTGAGTGGGAAAGAACTGCAGCTCATTGTGGTCCAGGCTGAGGCGGCTGAGGGTGAACAGGCCAGCGAACGCCTCAGGGGCCAAGTTGTTGAGGGAGTTATGACTCAGACGAAGCCACTTGATGTTGTGCAGGCCCTAGAAGAGAAGTCGGAGCACTGTGGGATCATGTTGCTCTATTGGCGGTGGAAAAACGTGCACAGCGTGTGCATTCAGCGCAGCTAGTGTCTGTGTTTGTGATGATAAATTAAGCACCAGAGTGAGTACCTGGAAGGCCATGTTGGGGATGTACACCAGCTGGTTGTGGTTGAGGGCCAGCATGTTGAGGAAGCCAAGCTGCGTGAAGGCTCCAGGCTGAACCTCCTCAATTCGGTTATGGTCCAGATGCAGCTCCTTCAGGGACGAGAGGCCGTCGAAAGACTCCTGCAACAATCAGACCAAAATGAGAGAAACTCTTAACTTTAATGGGTCGGACATGTCATTTTTCACTGTGTCGTCTTAGTCTGGAGTTTTGTCTTGTTCTGTCACCTGGTAAAGGATGTCAATTTTATTGTGGGCCAGGTTCAGGGAGACCACGCGGCCCAGGGTCCGGAACGCTCCTTCTTTCACCTTGATGATGTTGCAGCGCTGCAGGTTGAGGTGGGTGAGGTACGGTGTGAGCACAAACGTCCCTCTGGGCAGCACCTGCAGGTCGTTATTCTTCAGATCGAGTTTCAGTGTAATCTGTGAGGGAGATGCAGCTGAATGGAGGATGTATCGGAGACAGAGCTGGAAACCCATCTTTTCTGAGAAGGGTATGTCTGAATGGCATTTCATAAAAAGTTAATAAAGTCATTTATGAGCTTCCACTTGAATTGGTAATGATTTAATATGAGAAACATTTGAAATTCATCAG